AATCGTGCATAAAGTTTTGTATGCATTGCTGGCATAACTGGTTTTTATGGTCCTACGACGCTTTTCTAGCCCTCGCGCTGACGCGCTCGGGCTCGAAATAGCGCCTCGGACCATAAAAACCTTATTATGCCCTTAATACATAAATAACTATTATGAAATTGTATTATTAAAATATTTGTAATAAACCAGTACATGATCAGGCGCGTACTGGGATGATTTTAGGGCCCGGGAAATAGTTCCCTTACAGGGCACTATAGTTTAAAAGAAGTTTCACTTGTACGATGCTGCATATGATTTTTTTCAAATTTTTAATAGATGTCGCTTTAACAAAAAAAATCTATTTTATTCGATTTATCTTCTGTATACGATTCTGCAATAATTTTTCTATAAAAATATCACTTTTTTTCGTAATAATTATCTTGTCGATTAATTAATTTAATCCTAATTGAGGTATACAAAAATGGTATTTAGTTTGAGTATTTAGGTATAAAGAAACTATTTATACATACTTGAGCAGTATTTAATCAATTTAGTTCGAAGATTAATTTGAAACAAAAAGACCTCCTTTCGTTAAGCAGTTATTCATAACTGATTTTTTAAGAGAGGAAGAAAAAATAGAAATGATTTTGATTTATGGAGAAGCAGGCAGGAATCTTGATGATGCTGTTAATATCTACGCTCAGCGTTTTCCGGATAAAATTCGATCACGTACTTCATTTCACCGTACAGTCAAGCAGTTAACTACAAACGGGAGTGTTCAACCGATAAAAGAGTTCGTCGAGCAACAGTCACAGGTGGAAATAATGAAATTAATGTATTAGCAGCAACGGCCGCTAATCCTTAAGCAAGCACACGAGAATTATTTAGAGATTTGGGAATATCCCATAGCAGTGTTGGCAGAATATTAAAATAAATAAAGTATTTTATTCAAAAATTATTGGAGAATAGTTGATTTTTTTATTTTTAGTCGAATGATCCGAATCTGCAATAAAAAATAGGGTGTTCCATTGGAAATTTTAAAATTACCCCCTGTTCCCCCTACAAGGAGGAGAGTATGAGGACCAATTTTTACTGATTGATTTTCCCCCTCGAATCATTTAATTTTTATTTTTTCGTAAAATGGATACTAACTGAGATATTTTAAAGTTTCAAGTTAAATGACTCACTCTGTATATACCCAGTTTATACATGAATTAAAATTCTAACCAGAACATAAAATGTCGACTGCTCCCTTGAATCTTGCCGGGTTTTAAAGTGTGTTTCCCTGAAATAATTTAAGAAATAAATGTTGGGCTGACTAGAGTATACCTTGTTAAATAATTTACAGCAGAAAATGGAATGGCATCATTTCAGGATTGCCGGGCTTAGGTGTGCAGGCGATATAGTGGAAGCAGTTTAGAGATGTTACGACCCTTTTCACGATATCATCGATGTTTTGCTACAAATTTATTGCAAATATCTCACTACCGAACTGTATTTTTGGTTATTCAGCAATTAAATTAGATTGATGCTTGTAATTATTATCGGCCACCCTGATGCTACTAGACATTTGATACGCAATACGTCTTTTGACTGGAGAAATTTATTAACTCCTCTAACTTAACAAACACATAAATTAGCAAGTGCAGACATAGCATTTCTGCATATTAAGTTTTTGCTTTTATTGTAGTTAAAACGTTGAAGGAAATTTGATTGAAAAATATTCCCAAATGTATTATTTTTATGAATGTGTGAATTTTACCCCACTTGTTCCTTCAATTACCACTATTGATATAAAATAAAGCATGGGAAATCATGGGATTCTGTGTATAACAGGTTCCATGACAAGTTGCGAAGGGTGGTAACAATATCCATTGTCAAACAAAAATTCACACGATTCTGAATTTTCATAATCATTTAAAATTTTTGGAGATTATAAGAACTGATTTTTAAAATTATGCATATGAACTCAACAAGTTTTCTGTTGATTAATTCAGCCACATGAAAAGTCAAAGTTTTTTACGCTTTTCATTCGAATTTAGTGTTGAATTCGTTCTTTTATCCAGCGCTTCATTATCATTGAGTATTATTCATGTTATATTTCACGGATGGTTGCCCTTAGTCTCATAGACGTGCAAACACAAAAAGATAAAAAATCTTACAAACCACAAGATATTTTTCATGCATAGAAGCAATAGCTTTAAAAATCGTTAAAAAAAATTCAGTACTTCTTCTAAGTAAATATTGCATGTTCATTTTCAAATAGCATTTTGGTTCCTGTGTAATATAATTTGACTGTTTTACCTCCGCCAATGTTTTTTACCTATCTGAACTTTAAATCTCACGACATATCACTGAGTTGCCGTCAAAATTTCATTAGATATGGGTTAAAAGGATGATTCATCTGAAATGACATGATTAGGGCAAAGCTTGGCATTTCAAGGTACCCATTTCATCTACTTACCAACGCCTAATATGGGGTACTACTACTATTTAATGCAATGTTTTAGGTAGGGTCTGTGACAAAATAAGTTAATTTGAATATCAAAATTTTACCAGTTTATGCATGAAATTTGTGACCTAAAAACGCTAGCACTGATTGGTTTATTGATTCTATAGAGATCAATTTCTATAGAAAGATTTCTTGACCTCATAATAGGACTAATAAAATTGATTATAGCCTAACTTGGAACTCCCACAGTCAAAGGATTTTATCAAGTAATTAAGAATTCGTATGTCGAAATCAGGATCTTAAACTGGTATAAACATAATTTTAACGGTCGTTTAATGATCGCCGTGTTACAGCGTTTAATAAATTGGCGGAGATATTTTAATATAACCACTGTAGGTAATAACCTGATTGCTTTAGATGTTAATCGAGTATCCTGTATTAAAGTTCAACGATAATTGCCATAATGCTTGAACTTGTTTTCTTTGTAGCGAATTTATGGCACAATTAAATTATTTAGAACATACATAGAAGTATTTGAGAATGTCATAATTTTTCGGGTCGAATTGATTAATAAAGCAGCTGAAGTAGCCAAACTTGCCACATCATTTGTAAACGAGTTTCGTAACATTTAATTGAAAATTTTGTTAATTTTTGAGTCGTTAATACTTTTTTAAGTAATTATACAACTTAATTAATCTTTAAAATATTAAGCAGCCCCCATTTTTTAATGAAATTTAGGTACACAGTTTCTTAATTAAAGTAAGTATACCTTTTAAAAATTATTAACTTGGTTATATAACTATGTAGTAATAAAGACAGTTCAAAGTATTTTATACAAATGTTTAATGTTGTTAGTTTTTTAGTATTTTTACAGGAAAATTCTACAAACTGACACTCCTATACTGACGAGCTGTGACTTTATGCCGTTTTAGTCACGGGCTGAAGTTAGCAACAGTAGCTTTTGGGCATTTTAGTCACCGGCTGAAGTTTGCTTTATTATAAATTGGGAAACAGTGAGGTTAATCCGTTGACAGTTGACATATGTCAAAAGTTTAACGAATAAAGATATCTTTAAATTCGTCTTGGTATTCGTCGTAGATTAAGTATAGTATGCAACTCGTTTTAAATACTTATTATCTTAAAATGATTTAAATCAAATATTTGTTTAGAGCGCCATCTATAAAACAATAGGGGAATCTGCAGATACATGTATTACTGTCAAATGTCAATTTTTTATGTGTTATAGCATTTGTCAAACGGTTTTAACCTCACTTTATTTAAACTATTGTATTAAATGTAGAAGTAGAGTTCGGTTTTGGGTCTCGTGTGCTCGGTAGCTCTATGAAAGAGTATATGAAAAATAAGTGACTTCTCGACCCAGGAGAGGCAAAATCGGACTCTCAGTGTAAAAACAAACTGGTATTAATCAAGAATTTGTAAAAATATATGGAAATAACTAAGAGATGGATCGGATGATTGAAGATTAAAGACAATTGGAAAATTCTGTGTATGAAGCCATGTGTACAGTGAAGCGAAAAGATGACATGGTTCTATAAAAATTGATAAATAATTAAGAATATATAAATGATGCAAGGGATGAGTTAATCTCAGATTCTTTTAAATAAGACCCTTGATCATAATAAAGAAAATTTTAATAATATAATGTGCTGGCCAAATAGCTTTTAAATTAAGCTAAAGGTCAGTCCTCTGAACACAGAATTGTGTTCAGAATTAAGAAAAAGAAGAAATGTAGAAGTAGGTAAAAACTATTTTAGTTAAATTCACTTTTATATTTAAATGTACCAAAATGGGTAGAGTGCATTACTACTCTGACCGTGCAGCCATAGTAACCAACTTTATTTAATCTACCTGATGGTATTTTTCTCTAGAGAACTATTCAGCGATCGATTTGTCGAATAATTAATAAAATACTTTGGCAATAAAACAAACGTTTGACATAATAAAATCGTGTGTACACGTTGTAAACGATGTGGAATCGTGTAGTTGTCCGATCTCGTTTGGAAGAACACGTCGTTTAAAAATAAACTCGAACAGAAGGGATACATACAACGATAATTATCTGTAGTCAATATACGTCTCGGAAACATTTCTTCATTCGGTGGCCGTCATAAATCAAATTTCACATTAGTTTTCCCCCTTTTTTTCTTTCTCTCTCTCTCTCGCTTCATGCAACCCTAACTCGGGATGATGGCCATTTATCAAATCTGTTTTGGTTACCGAGATGGGCTAAATATGATTGATAGGGGTGACAAATTGAACTACTTACCATTTCAATTGCTTGTGGTGAGGTTCATGAAACGACTTGGATTTAATGTTTTCTTTATTTAATTAACAAGTCTTTTCTAAATACCTCGAGGATGAATCGCTGGAACATATTTATTTCCATATGAGCAAGAATTTTTACACCTTATTTTGCTTGGTTGTAAATGACTTTTTTATGGATTTATCTCAAAGCCAGGGTCTATGTCATGGAGGTAAATAAAGCAATAAGTAATTTTAAAATTTCTTTATTTAATTAATATTATGTGTTAAACACAATGTTATCGTTATAAAGCAGGACTTTTTTAATTTTATATGCAGACCAGTATAACAAAAACTAGCAGTAAAAAACTTATCTAGTTTAGATCATCTGGGTGTCTCCAGTGATAATTAAGGTGATTTTTTTGACACCACATGTGATTATCACTGGATCCGTAATAAGAACTAAACCATTACATCTCTCAGCATCTCTTGTGTTTCCTTAAGTATTTAGTAAACGATGCAGTAGATAGTTAATGATAGCATCCGATGAAAGATGTACAGGAACAGTTACATTTTTTATTTCTACTAGCTATAAATAAATTATAAATAGATATATACATATGTATTGTACATTTATTCGGAACTGTGTGATGAATTTAAAAATATTTTCGCTAAATATCACAAGTATATAGTACACCTAAGTGGGGCTACTTGGTGAGTCCCTATCGTCCCTTAGGCTGGTATCAGGTGAGGATCTTTGTGGAGGAGCATATGGAGAATACCTGTGCTGCGCCAAAGGCCTTGCCATTGGAGAAATGGGAGAATTCAAGTGACTGCTCCCAGCCGCTGCCACTGCCAATTGATGCTGATGCTGAGCTGCAATCAGCGAAGGACCAAGACAAGCCCACTGATTCCAGAGAACACCCGGCGGTACAGCGGAACTTTGCGAAGCACTGGCACCGTATAAACCCCCCATTAGGGGCCCGTAGGGTCCCGCAGCGGCGGCCGCCGCTCTGAGGAACAACTGAGATCTCGCAGCTAGAATGGCCTTTTCTTCTATGCTCAAATTGTTGTTGTGAGCCTCCATTTCCCCGAAAGGCCTCAGCGGCGATCTGAAGTAGTGCTGCTCAGCGAGCATGGACTCCATGGTTTCCCTGTAAGAGAAACTACTGCTAAGTTTAAAAGAAATACATATAGTTAAGTGTAAGGAATGATTGTTAAGGAGCTGTATGTATTTTAAAGAGTTCATTCAAAACAAATCCAGCCCACTTAATAATTATTAATCCATCTATCAATCACTGCATGATTTTTCTATTACCTTTGGTTTATCAGATATTTGTATCTCGCGCGGTTAAGAGTAGTATAGTGTTAAGGTGTTGATGGTATTCAGAAATGTTAATGCATACCTTTCGAATTCGGTGAGCCGGGAGGAATCTCTGAAGCCTTTAGCAAATGGGTTGCTGTCAATCTTCAACTTTGTTATCTGAAACGAAAATTATAAAGTCAAATCAGGCAGTCTTGTCAGAAATTTCAAAGTCTTGGAGCAAATAATAAATGCCCAATTTGTAACATCGATAATTAATAAGAACAATCAAATGTCTGAGTACCTATATCTCAAAAGAGTGAAGAGTTTAGGAGTGGAGTTTAAACAAACAAACAAACGGGGGTCCGAGGGCCGCAGTCGGTCTCCCGGGGTGGGCCAATTACGTGCAGGCGGGGAGTGACAGTTGCCGGTGGAGAATGGTTGGAATGTTACGGACCGTGGGGCACCCCGGGTGCTTAATCCAAAGGCCTGCCATGATGCATGTCTCGATGCTTCGGACGACATCAGATATACTATCGGACCACTCACAGTCATCAGCTAATCAACGAAAATCTCCGTTTTTGCATAATGCAACCAGCGGAGATATTAATTTTTAATTTTGACACAGAACTCAATCATGTTTATTGCCTTTCCCCCGGACGATTTGTCTTGATCTTACTCTTTAATTATCCTTAAGATTTACGGGTCTAACAGTTCAATAAAAAATACAGTTTCTATAAATTATTTGATATCATAATTATTGTGACTTGGGCGCTACTTTGATCAATAATTTATAGGCAATAATTTAGTGCAGAAAAAAATCCAAAGCTCTTTCCCGACACATTTAGAAGGGGGATGGGTGTAAATAAATCGTGCGACATGTTAGTTTGTGTGTTTGGGTCTCGTTAGCGACTTCCTAACACATTGATGTTGTGAAATGTGTCACGTTAGATCGCGAAGAATCCGAAACGAACGAATGTAGGTACAGGGTAGTACTGAAAGTAGGTTTCTGAAACATGATATAATCATAATATTTTTTTTTCAAGATAAGCTTCAAGTTTTTCCTACTGGTCTTTTAAGGAATGTATATAGTAAATTTAAAAGGAAACGGCGTACACGTCATCAATCAGCTGATCGGGCACGGTTGACAATGTTATACTAAAATCATTGCATCAAGTGAAAGTGGTAGTGCAACTACAGGGAGATAGATTGCGTTTACATGAATAATACCATAGGGTACCTAGATTTGGGACCTTAGAATACCAAAATGTCAAAGTTTTATAACCTATATGATGCACCGCCAAAAGTATGTTTTTAGTCATTTTTAAAGACATTTTCAGCTATAGAACCATAGAAATGTTGCCATCAAAAGTCAGTCTCTGGTATATATATATATATTAATATTTTATGTATCCAACATATATTTTGTTAAATATTGTAATATATAATTAATAATAATCCTATTTACCTCTCTAACAGCTGGCCAGTCTGGACCGGTCCATTATTATCCCGTTCTGCCTCAAAATAGCGTATGCTTCGGCATTTTAAATGTAGGAAAAACAACAAAACGATATATAACAAAGACAAAAACGGCAATGAAAACTTAAACGATATAAAATAACACAAATAACAAACAAAATAAACGAAATTATACACGAATTAAACGAAATATTCAAAAACACAACATACAGCTTCAAAATTCTAAAACGTCAAAATTTTAATCTAAACATGACAACATTGCAATTGCTTCCCACTAAAAATGTTTAAAATATTAAATTACAGACGTTACGTTTTATACATTTAGCGTTACCAGTTCACAAAATTATGACGTCATCGATGACGTATACCTACGTCGTTTCCTTTTAAATTTACTATACATACAAAACTAATACAGTTGGGGGAAAGAGGTTTATCGTTTGTTATGAAGTTTTTGTCATTCCAGGGACTTTATTGTTTCCACAAAAAATCTTAGTGTGTCTGGGAGTCGAGAATTTGTGACATGGTGGGGAAAACCCTAAGCTAGAATGACGGCAAGCTAAAATAGAAGGTTTTTTTGGTTCACCCTGTAGGAAGATATAAAGTCGGGAATAGGTTGTGGAGGCAAGCGGAGAGAGCGCCGGCAAGGCATCATGGACGCTCTCCTGGCAAACGGCAATCACTCACTCGACAAGAACATCGGAATCGTATGTCTTGCCACACACGCGCTCCGTGTGAAACGTCCTGTCTCATTTAAAAACTATTATTTATGTTTACGTTGCCGGGCGACTTGTTAAGGCGACAAGACAGATTTCTTCTCGAGGGGAAATTTCCCGTTAATATTTTTCCTTCTCCTGTTTCTTATTTTTGTTCTCTTTGCTACCAACTTTGGACAAATTTTTAGGTTAGGTATGGATTTTTATTAAATTATATATGGATCTTTCCATCTCAAATTGACCAGACAAAAAGGGATAGGTCGTTATTTTTTAACGATTTTTTTTACAGTTTCTATACCGAAATCGATGAAACCAGATTTTTTTTGCTTGAATTTAAAAATGTACAGGAACATCGATTTTTCTCTTTTTACGAGATTTTTTAAAATTGGTAAAAAAATTAATTGAATTCACTCAATTCGTTTTAAAATTGTTTTTTCTAAAAAATGGAAAATTTTGACATTTCCACATTTTTTTTTCTTACTTTTTTAATGAAAATAAGATTTTCTAGTAAATTCGTGGTCCATCGCAAAAATTTGGTTTTTTATCTAGGGTCATGAAACTGGAGTGACCTATAGGTCACTATATATATATGGAGTGTAATTTAGTGTAACTTTTTGACATATTTAACATATTTTTGTCACTTCTGGTTTTACTGGAAATGCTCTTAAGTAAGTAAATTAAATTATTAAAGATTTTAGAGTAAAAAGTAAATTCTTAATATCTTTGCATGAGTTACTTTAAAAGATGTAAAAAGTATTAGATACCAAAAAGTAATTATTCGAATGCACAAGAAACCTATAAAAACGCGATTTTGAAGAAATGTAGAACACAAACAATTTCGAAAAATTTTGGTCGGTTAACAGATACAAGTGAGGCAGTCGCGAAAATCTTTTTGACTGAGGCTCAGGAAAGGAAATATGTATTAGGCCTAAGAGGTACAAAAACTAATGCGCAGATTAATTATGTTTAGAAATAACAAATTTTATTTTGATTTCAAATTTCGTTTCTTCATTTATTGCCAGGGATTCTCTAGATATAAATTTTTTTAATCGTTTCAAAATATTTAAATGATTTTTTTAAACCAAAAAATGTTGAGCAATTACTAACACTTTGATTATAACCACCTCAAGTATTATTTTTATTTTATTTTATACAAAGTTTTAGCATGTTTTGTTACTTATTTTATACACAAGCGTTTCAAAGCCTTCTTAATTTATTTACTTTTGTACACACTTTAAAAACGAATAAACTTTCAAATTTAATTAAGAGTTTGAAAGCAATATTATTAAAAAATGCATTAATATTTGGTACATATTTTAAAAAAAGTTGATTTCTTTTATGACCAACGAACCACCCTCTTTTATTTTAAAAAAATAGTTTTTTTAGCCCCTAAAAACTATATAAAAAATAATAAAATTGTGTTTTTTCCAGACTACAAGCAGAAAAGCCAATTCAAGGAACTCTAGCTATAGAAGTAAAATTTAATTAAAAAATAATTTGAAATGTCAAAAATTGACAAATGACATGAAGGTATGTATTCAGAATTTTATTTTCAATCGAAATATGTAAAAATGCATAGGGTGTTTCATTAAAAAATAAAAAGTTTGTGAAGTGACAAAAATTATATTCATATTATGTTAAAAAGGTGAAAAAGTTCTAAATTACACTTTATAAGTGTCATCTAAGTTTTATTACCCTAGATAAAATACCAAATTTTTACGATGAACCACGAATTTACTATAGGAAATAGCATTTTAATTATTATCAACTTCAAACGAAAAAAATATGAATTAAAAAAAATGTGGCAATGTCAAAATTTTGACCTCAATTTTTTTACATTTTTTAAAATTGAGTGAATTTATATCTCGAAAAAAGAGAGAAATCGATGATTCTGTCCATTTTTTAAAAAATGCCTACGGGTGAACAAAACAAATTTAAGAAAAAAAAATACAGGTCTCATCTAAGTATATATTTCTGCAGAGAAACTGTAAAAAAAATCGTTAAAAAATAACGATCTAACCCTTTTTGCCTGGTAGATTTAAGATGGAAAGAGAAACTTTGCTAAATTAAAAAAATATATATCGATATAAAGTTTAGATTATGTGAGCCTCAATGGGATGTCAATTATTTTTTGAAATATATCCTACAATAAGGCCATAATGAACTGTCATCTAAATATCTAATTAAACAAACAACTGCACATATGCTCTTCGAGCCCAGCACTCTCGAATGATTAATACATTTATTTTGAAAATAACTTCAACATATCGGTGGCCTGCGACAAACAACCATAAATATTACGCATTTGTCATTTTGGCTGCTGGAAATATTTTACGGGCGTTTAGGGACAGCGCGCTCAGTCAAACAATTTTTACGTGCGCACAGTTGCGATGGGTGGCAAAAACGAAAAAAAAAATCGGGCGAATTTATGAGACGTTGCATGTGTCGCGTTTTAATCATAACGCGAAGACGCGGCAATGTTTATACATCACCGTATGAATTAATTAGGGGGACTGAATTCATTTAAAAATAGAAGATTTATAAGTGTGTCTGGAGCTTTAGTTATAGAAGAATATCTTAATTATTCTTATTTTTGATGTCGCTCTAAAAATACTGTGTGACAAAATAATTTGGGCACGGCATATACATGCCGTGCATATGCACATCAAAACCGCTTTACAACCTAGGAAAACTGAATAATTTAACGAAAAAATTTGTGCTCATAAATCGTTGACCCCTTGCAAAAACCGTCTTTTTACAACAAAGTAGGCAACTGGTAAATCATGAGGTTTGGTTTTTAAAGGCGCCACATACCATAACCTCATTTTATATGCTACTTTTGAATAATATCGTGTAACCATTTTAATATACGAGCATTGAGATGTTATCTAATTAAATGATTATACATTAAGTGCGGGTATAATTCTTGTGTCGCGCCTGTAATTTATAATATGAATTCAAGGGGATTTCGGTACCAAATAAATTATCTGTAGCAAAGGCATTAATTGCATGCATACATATGTACCTATACAGCGATTTGACGCGTTTAAACTAAAGAAGTGACATCCTGAGATATTTATGGGGTTTATCAAATAACTACTGGAAGGGTTAACTCAGGTTAAAAGCTTTTAATTAATATAGATATGTTAACTTCTTATAAGCTTCTAACATGATCTAGGATCTTTTTGGGCCAGTCAAGGCCATTTATCTAGAAGACACGATTTAAAATAGCTGTGGAATCGGCCAAATAAGAAAAGAGACAATATTAAGATATGTTTTAAACTTTGTACCAGAACGTTTTAATTGTTGAAACAGTTTCAAAACAGAGTCCATGAGTTAAGGATGGTCGCGAAGAAGTAAATGATCACCAACAAAAGTCAAAATCAGTGATAACCGAAGATACCAAAACTATGCGTAAATTTATCAAACATGAGTCCAAATCTTCATTGAAACTCATCGAAATGATGAATTTTTGATTTTCATATCATCAATGTATCTCATATTAAATAAACATTTGGGCCTTCGTGTGATGGAGTATCCAATATTTCTAATGAATGAGAACAAAATTAAGGTGTTTAAAAAATTGGTATTTTTAATTTACGAATCACATATATGTGATTTACATCGTAAATCACAAATAAATAAGGTATTCGTGAGGGAGTTATATGCAAAATCCCTTTAGGGCTTAAACAAATTATATTTGTTATTTCTATGAATCCAGAACCTGAATAGAGTTCTTAGCATATTGTTTGAGTGTCTATATTATATATATTATATAAATTTCACTCAAAAATCACTCAATTATAGGCCCACACCAGATTGAGTTATTTTTTTACTCAATATCCGCGAGTGAAATTTAAATTTTATGAGTAAAAAAAATCATCAAAACTGAGTGATTTTGTTCAGTTTAGATTCAGGTAAATGTGAATATTGGTTTTGTCTTGAGTAACTAGTAACTCATGGATTATTTGGAACATTAATTGAGTATTTATATTTCTCTTAATTGAGTGATTTTGCTCGCGTTTGAGTAAAGTTGAAAAAGGGAATACATAAATAAAAATGCCAATATTTTCGTATCAATAACTGTAATTTAATTTATAATAGTAATTATTCCATTTTATACACTTATATAAAATTAGAAAACATAAATAGTATTTCATTTTACTTACTCATTAAAACTGAGTGTACTTGTATACCTTATTACACCATCCACTGCACCAAACTGACAAACAAACACCATAGAATTTGTAGGCAATAAAATAAAATTGTCTAAAACTCCAGGTTTTATATATATGATTAAACTAAACCAAACTAAAAAGTTTATGTGATTGAAGTCAATCAGATTTGTAAGAAATATTGTCAAAATTGGAAATCATTGTAAAATTTTAATTAAAATTTTACTCAAATATTTAACTCATTAAATTATTTCACTACCAAAAAAACAGTTACTAAATTGGATTTTTTACAGTGTATACTTTTTCTACGACAAATACTTAGTATTATCTAAAAATGATTTAAACTAAATATTTGTAAAGAGCGACATCTATACAAAAATAATGTAACCGTGAGAATGGGAATCTGTATTACCGGCGGCAAATGTCAAATTTTTCTTTGTAAATCAAAATTTATCCCTTGGAAATGGCCTAACAACTGAATAAATCCAAAATAGAAGCAGTTTTTAACAGTGGAAGTAAAAAGAATGAATTATGGGCACTTCAAGACTTGAAGTTCAAGTCACGCTTTATCTAGTTTACTGCCGGCTACACTCTTATAAAACATAATAATTTTTTACATTTGGTAGTATTTCATAAGGACACTTTATTTAAACGATTTATGACATATGACAATTTGATTAATTAAATAAAACAATATTGTTGTATGCTATTTTGTCTTTTATTGCAATAAGTAAACGAAGCTTAAATATTTCAAATTATCTAAAAAACAAACCTTTTTAAGTTTAAGTCAAAAGCTCCTAGATAATTATCATAGATAGCTTAATTACCCGTCTATTAAAAACGCAGTAAATTATAATCTACGTAAGTGATTACGAGCATAATAAAGACATAATTCGATTTTAATTGCAGTAATCGAGTAATAAAAAATTTAATTAATAAAATTTTCGATACGCCCAACTTTATTTGTCAAGCTTTGATGTAACCGATTTTAAATGAAAATATTGGGAAGATGTCATTATTTATTTGGGGTTATATTATATGTATTGAAAAGGTCCTGGGTACATCCGAAATCCTGGATATCTATGAAAAATCTCCAGCGTTATATTTATTTCCAAATTATTCCATCCTTCCCTGGTTGCCGTGGAAAATATCAGGATCAGTTCAATAAATATTTCCATAAAATCATCTTGACTTGGCTTGACATTTATGAAATCAGTGTTGCAAACTTAAGACACCACAATTTAATTTATTGTTTTCGCAAACATGTGGAAATAATCCAAATATTCACAGACCGTTACGCGGTGAACATCAAAAAAAGTCCCACATAAATTTTATTAGGAGCAGATGCTACCTTTTAATCATAACTCAAGCAAACAAGAAATATTAATACTTTGCTAAATGAAATTCCACTTTCATGAAAAACAAAACTTCTTGAACATGAATGAATACAATACACGGACGATTCCACTATTGCGCATTTAAAGTTTTCAATAATAAAATTAAAAAAACATTTTTAATGAAATTATTCTTTTGAACGGATACAAAACCGTCCCACCTTTCCAGATTATAGCACAAAAATACAAAAGTTTGTTAATTGTGAAATAATATTTGAGGTTATGTTAAATTATAGGGATTTTTTTTCTCTAACTAAGATCTAAAAGTACTTTTCTTCGCTATCAAAATCCCCAATTACCAGAAATAAAGACCAGCTGCATGATGACAAGGTAAAATTATATTTGGTCGAAAAGTTTTATTATAATATATATTAAATTATAATATAATACAAGATTCATAAAACTTTTAAACAAGAATACGATGAAAACGTCAAAAAAATATGTAGGGACTCTAGGTTAAATATTGTTAAAACTTTGTAAATTTACTATCACTGCTTTTCTTAAGAAAAGCAATGATAGGTCTTGAAATGTAAGGGACATAGGAAGGGGGTATGGGGGTGTCGCCCCCAATTCTTCAGGAGTCGGAAATTTTGGTGATTGTAAAAGATACGTGGTTCATTATACCATTAAGGCTCTCTGTTATTTGTCAGTTGTCCCTAACATTTCTTATTAAAAAAAAATAATAAATTGAGACAGCTAATATAGAACTAGATTTATAAGAAACTAAAATAACAAAAATTATTAGAACCTTTTTCAATTAAATATAAATATATTTTAAATGTCTTAATTAAGGTTGAAAGTTATCATCACACTGTATAACCCCATGGGCCATGTCTCCATCATATTGCAATAGTGAAAACTTGGATATATTTCATGGGTTTTGTATGAAACAGAATTCTAAAACTAAAATGAAATAACAAATAAGTAGCTCCTCAGTACTAATAAAGAATGTTATAAAATGTCAGTGAATATTTTTTTATGCTTGATCAAACCTTGTCCTTATATTTAATGTCTTCGTCACAAACCGCTTAAATAAAAACAGCTTTGCTATAAAATACACCAGAGTTTAGCATTACATAAAAAAGAACTCTGTAAACGATGTAGTTTAAAACTGTGTCACGAGATGGCGCCGCTGCAGGCAATGGTATCGGTATTGTTATTTTGTGCGTTACAAACAATCAGCGTGTGTTTTTGAAGATTACCTTTCGTGACGGCATTTACACAGTATTTAATTTTCTTCAAGCGAAACTTGATAATAGTCACAATGGATGTGAAAATGTGAAAAGTATAATGACCCACGTAAGTGAATTCACTAGTCGGTATTTCAAAAGTTTTATTAGCTGCCGACTAATGCCTGCTGCAGCTGCAGCTAATGCCGACTATCAGCTTATCGATTTGAATATAATAGATAAAATAGTTTGCTCATTTATTTTAGGAAGGATTATTCGGAAAATTTGGGGTCTTTCGATGGAAAATGGAGAATGATTGAAATATCTTATTGTAGTAATTTCAAATAATAATTATTAATTAGATAATTTGCAATAATTTTCCAGAAACTCGGCTTTTCTGCTGGCACTCATGGTGATCTCTTAACTCTCAAGTATCTAGACATGTTGTGCTATTAGAAGGTAATTGGCACCAAACCCTCTATTGTTAGAAAAAACATCTTTGAAACTATTTTTAGCACTTTTAACAATCATTAAGGACCCACTAACTGTCTCAAAACTCATCATTTCTTCAACACCTAGTCGTTCTAAATATTTTAGGATCTCGACAAAAAACGCGGGTACTTGTTAATGTGTGGTCGACGTTGATGAGCCACTTTTTGTTTGTTTTTTTTGTGAAAAACAATACATTTGCTGTTAGTTGATTTGGGAAAATTGTCACTGGCGGCGGCTGACATTTATACACCTATCAGCACCGGGATACGGGTGGCCCACGAGTTTTTGGACATCGGCCAATAAATACACTATACTGATCGAAAAAAGCCTACTTTCTACTTTAAATAAAATATACTCTTTCTTACCAGTTGATTTTGATATGCCGTCACTGCAGTGAATATCGTCTCGGGAAAGATAAAAGTTTTGTACTCTTCATTTTCTAAATCTACCACATTTCCTGACGACCCTTCACTTCTCTTCACCAAGTGTATCCTAGGCTGATACTTGTGCATGGAATTCAACACCAACTAAAAAAAACAAATCACAAAAAACCCCAAAGAACCGTTTAAAACAACTTACATGTCCATGCTTATCCATTTCGTTATTCGTAAGCTTGACTTTCTCGAAACTGACGACTTGCTTGCGCAGCTGTTCGCCCGAGTACGGCGCATCGGGGTGGGGGTAAATCCTGCAGGGTGCAGGAGGATCGGCCTTTCCTGCCACCAGCCAGGACGATCTGTGGTACGCGTATCGGTACCGTTTATTATCTACAGGAACTATGTCTATAAGTACGATGTATTTTTGGTCGGGGCGAATTCCTGTAAAGGACACGCGGACTGTCGGGAACATCCTCCTGCAAAAGAAGAAGAAGAATTTATAAGGGTCATTCTCTATACTCTTTTAAACATTATAGTATCTTTAACTGACTAAAACATGTAAGATTCATTTACATAAAAAATTATAGTGTAATATTATTTAAGCTTTGATTTGCTTTTAATTGCCAAGATTTGCTTTTAATTTTATTTGTATTGTATACGTATTTAACACTAATCTGTAATTTCAGAAGAAAATAATAGGATTTATCTAACGCACTTTTAAATTTCATTTTTTACTTTCCATAGATACCATTATAATAATTATTTGATTGTTCGTTTATGTATAAATTTTTTGCCTGAAATAATTATTTCAAATAATAGGAACTTAAATTTTAATGATAATGTTTTTTATAATACGCACTATCTGAAAATATGTTGTTCCGATTATTTAAAACAATTATTACTCAATAACACAAAATTGTAAAATAAATATGCAAATATTCTCAATGGGAAAATTACTGTGCCTTATCTCTAAAAATGAATTAGTCAAAAATGACTAATTTAATAGTTATTAGTGGCTGCTTTTTCACTAGTACCATAGTGAACCATGAAATATCATGGTATTTCACAATTTAACAGCCAATTCTTCTGTAAAATTGTCCCCTGAATCCGAAAATACCGTCAAAAATTATGAAAGTGGCGCAGTTTTTGAGATATAGTCAATTCCATATTAAATGGAAAAATGACTATATCTCAAAAACTGTTCTACTTTTTAACTTTTTTGGATTCAGGGGACAATTTTACATAAGAATTGGCTGTTAAATTTTGGGATACCATGGTATACCATGGTTAATCAGGGTTCAAGTGAAAAAGCAGCCACTAATAACTACTAAAATAGTTATTTTTGACTAATTCATTTTTAGAGTCAGAAAAATATTAAAAAAAACAGAATCTGGTACACTGCGGGGAGTAAATCCCGAACTAGTTCCAAATATCCTAGGTATGAGCATTTTAAATTTTCAAGGTTAAAATATTAAACTACTTGGTTTAGTACTTGATTTCAATATATTATTCTTTATGTGTTTATATAGGTAGTAACTATTAGTTACGTTAGTGTGTGTATTTGATCTAAGTGATCAAGTGTTTTTAATTGTAAAGGAATTCAAGAACTAATTCGAAGTTGCATTTTGCTGGTGCATAATTAACTTATAACTTTATATAATATAATTGAACTTTTTAAGAAATCTAACACAAAATAATAATTATACAAACATAACCTTAAAATCAAACATTTTTATATTTAAGTCCTATAAAAACGCAGACAACTGCTTTCAAAATAGTAAATAACAAAATATATCCAAGCAACAATATTATATACAATACATCATATAATACCCGTTTTTGGTCTTTTGCTGTTGAGTGGAGACTTTCTCAATTAACGCTTTAGTAATTCATAATGCTGTTTGCATTTAGACGACTTACTTGTTTTATGATTTTTACTAAATTTAAATGATTAAAATTTTCACGTAAATCAATTAATAATTAATAATTAATAATTAATTAATTTTATAAAATGTGTATTTATTGTACCTATCTATAATAATTATTAATTAATTAATTTTATAAAATGTGTATTTATTGTACCTATCTATAGCCTATAGGCATAGGCATATATGCTTTTTATAATTTTATCAAAGAATTTAGTACATTTTTACGTAATTACCATAACCACAGGTTCGATGACAAATGTCAGTGTCAATTAATTTTTAGAAAATAATAACACCGCGGTGTTACGCGTAGTAATGGTAAATACTACTGTGGGGAAAAATCAATTTTCTCTATAGTTTAAGACTGAGCTACTTTCTCAATTGGGAACATATAGGAAATGTACAAATTATGATTGATAAGACTTATTTTAGAAATACAAAAATTAAATTTAAGAAATTTAAAAAAAATATCACCACCATTGAAGTTTACATTCTACCAAATGTCTGTCGTCGCAGACCAGGTGTGGAACTTTCTTCTAAAAGGCCAAGAAGCAACCCGGGATAATTAATAGATGTGTTTTATAAACAACTTTACTAGTGCTACTGCTTTGCCTTTTCAATCCAATCAATTTAAGTTACATCCAACTGGTCTTTAACATGTTGAATTAAAAAAGGGTTGACACGTACAAGATTACTGCACCGCTGAATAATTTGTTTTATTAACTTCTCACGATTTTCAGTTTTGCTTTTTTTATCTTTGCGGTAGTTAAATAAAACTTTGTGAATCTCATCTTTCTTCCTCTAGTCATACAATATAACATTAATTCACTGCATTGCAATGTATTAAATTGAGAAAAAGTGAGGTTAATTTCTTCTGACAGATGTCATATTGGGATAAAGTGAGGTTAAACCCGTCTAACATAAAATGCCAAATAAAATTGACTAAATTCTGAAAAAACAATACTTTGCGTTTGTCCTAAATAAAATCAGGTATGCAATTTTTTTTTATTGTAAAACCATGATGGTTGTAACTTTTTCACCTAGGTTAAAGCTTTCCACCTCTGCGCGGAGCAAACCAATTTAAATTATCGGCATATAATTGAGCAGTTTTCCAATTAAAAGGCAATAAACGTCTCCGTATATTAAAAACAAAAGCAAAGCGCAGCAATAAATGTTTTAATCGTATGTATAAATCTCACTTCGAGTCTATTAAAAGGCGATTGTGTGTCCGACCGTGTGTTTTGTTTTATGCCAACCGAAACGTAAAAAAAATGCGATTGAGAGAGAGAGAGAGAGAAAAAACGGCGCTCATTTGGCATCGCTTGCAAGCAATGAATCAATCTAGACAGCCGCGTCACTTGGTGAATTCGAGCGCTTCGATATGCTCTTGGAGGTCTAATTGCGCGTCGAACGTCTTTTGTTTCGTTTGTTTTTGCCAGAGCCGCATCTAGAATAAATACATAAATATTTTACATCATTTTTTTTAGAACTGCTCTTAATAGAAAATATTGTAAATCAAACTTGATGATGATGCCCTCCTGCCTTTATATTCGCCAGACATGGTCCCTTGTGACTTTTTTCTTCTCAGAAATAATCATCATCAAAAACCATTTCAAAAAGTACCATAAGAGTTTCGGGGATCGGAAGGAAATTTTAAAAATAAAAAAATAAAGTTTGTTAAAAAACACCCTTTGATTTGCCATTTATACATATCGGAAACTTTTTTATTATTAATTTTAAGAAAAAAGTTATTCCTCATAAAAAGTTCTGCATGTTCTAAAATCTAAAATACAATCATCAGATATAAAAAAAATTCAGTCGTATACGCGGTTTGTCAAAAAATATGAATCTAACTTAAGAGTAAAGTACCTTTATATTTGACAATATCTAAAATTCTTATTTAAAAAAGTTGATCAGAACTAAACACTACGTTCAAATATGCAATTACTTCCATTTTTTTTTTGTTTACAATAAGAATGCAAATGTAACTGTAGTTACATGTAATCTAGGATGCACTGACCTTGAATCTCAAAACATCAGAATTTGCTTATTACTTTCTGAACGGATCGGAAAGGTTATCATGTTTGTAATAAATAAAAAAGAGAAATGTTCGGTACCAGTAATTTGAGAAAAATTTGTAAAAAAATTTTTTTAGAACGATGTAAATGCATATGAAACTTTTCATCATTACAGATTTTGATATTGTCACAAACTTTACTATTGTACCAAATTCATTTTTTTTTGTCAAAACTCATATATGACTATAAAAAATTCATATCTGATCATTTTATTTTAGGTTTTAGAACATGCAGAACTTTTTATAAAAAATAACTTTTCTTCATAAAATTAATAATAAGAAAGTTTCCCATATGTTGCAAACTTAAGTATACACACTGTATATATATTTTACTGATTATCTATTTTTATATTTTCTAAACAAAATTTTTGATACCCCACTGTCTTCCTTAATTTCCTCTAGTTACCGCGCAAAACAATTGCCAATACTTTGATCTCTATTCTTGCCTACGATCTTCATCTGTTAAATTAAACTATCCAAATAATGCAACATAAAATTTATAAGTGGAAAATAAACCAAAACTTGACCTAAAATATACACATAAAAATCATCTAATTATCCAATTTTTTTAATCACCCATTATTTTTTCATTTAATTACCCCAAAAATCAAAACAATTAAACTGGGCCTATGCGTTTGGTTGTTTTATTGGGCTCATTAAAAATTATGGCCTACACATTTATGCATACATGAGTCAACAAACGATTTTTAAGTATTGTTTTAATTTTTATATTTCTGTAAATTAACCTTGAATAATACATCACGTTCCAGTTAAACATAATATTATAAATAAGTAATTTTTACAACTATTGTAATTAATAAATATTTATAAGTTTGATTTATACGGGAAATACAGATGGTAAAATCACATTGGTTTTATATTTAGTTTTTGTGTCTATACAGGGTGTTCCTAATCAAAAGGGGCTACGTAATAGAGGTTGTTGATTTCTTTGGAAATATTCTTTTTAATTTGAGGTTTGTTGGTTAACATTTTTGTTAAAAATACATTGAAAATTGAAACAAAAGCTAATTGAGCCAAATAGCGGTCATTTTTGAAATTACCCTGGAAAAGTTGTTGGCCACGATGTGGCAACATTGCTGTCGACCAGTGTAATTTGAAAACATGCTTAAATAAAAAATATTTATTTAAAAAAGTGTAAAAATTGTAGATTTTACACCCTCTATTACGTTGTGCCTTTTAAATAGAAACCCGTGTATAATTGGAGGGTTTATGGTAACAAAAAAACTTTGAAACTGATTTTCAAAAACCTGCGTAAACATTTTTTGTGTTTGCACTATTAAAACACCCTGTGTATTGTATTTTTATAAAAACTTACTCATCGAATTCGTGGGTAACCAAATATAAATAAAAACGAGTAATTACCACAAAACAACAAATTAAATTATTATATTGCACATATGATACCAATTTATTAATACTTAGTAGGTTTTCACAACAAATCGTGTAAATTCCACAAAGAAAAAACAAATAAAAAAAACTTAACCCATTACAATATGTAGGTACAAATACGGGTGGTCCAGAAGAAATTTGCATTATCCAAAAGTTATTAAGTTTAGAACAACCCCCAAATATCAAAGTTTGTCCAAAAACATTTCTTTTTTTCAAAGTTAATAAAATCGAAAACAAACTTTTAACTTATCTTTATCTAGGTTATTATCCTCTTTTGGATAAGGCAAATTTGAATAAATCGGATTGTTTCGACCTAAATAGTGTGCTGTTACTGTCCCAGAACTTAGATCACCCTGTATATCAAAAACATGTTTTACAACCCTGTGGAATTAACCGTCAATTTCTTTAACCTTCGACAGATAGGACAACAAAAATATTAATAAAGCATAAAAATTACATGGTTTTTCTTATTACTAATAAACTATAGAATATATTCATAAAATTTACTATAAATACTTGCAAAAAATAAATAATAATCAGTCTAAGTACCACAGTCAAAATGAAATATTTAGTCGCCGTAGCCGTTGTCGTGTGCTTTGCACAAGTTTACTCTCAAATGCCTGAGGCTGAGAAAGAAAAAACCTTAGCTTGTGCCTTACATAAAGGACCCTGTACCAAGGAAGAACAGGAAATTAAGGGTAAGAAACTTTTTAAATATGCAGGTACTAGGCAGTACTTTTTTTTTAAAGCAAAAGTCAACTTCAGTGATAAAGGCTTTTTTTTCAAAGTATTTTCTCAAATTTTGTACTTTCTTTCTTTAAAAAGAAACGAAGTCCGATCTAAAGACTTCAACTTAAATATATCTAATTTTTTTATGATACTGCGGGAAGGGCTGAAGCGATTTGCAAGTTAAAAATCTATTGAAAAAGATGTCCATCTCGAAACTTTTTTTTTAAATCACTGCTTACTATAGTCGCAAATCTGCATCAACGTCATATGACGTCAGCGTTAGGGTCCATTCATACGTGCCCAGGCACAATCTAATGCTCGTGTATTGTTGACTGTCTATATGGTGTCGTCCCATCTCGGGACCTCCCATCTCGGGACCGAGGGAAAATTTACCTGTTTCTGTGCCATCTCGGGACCGAGTATACAGGTACAAGTTTAAAAGTGCCATCTGAGGACCTAAGTAAAAGGATTACTTCGCGGTCAGTTTTTACATTGAAGGAATATTGCATTATTTTGCAAAATTATTAAAAGCGTCTATTTTATGCTACTGCAAAGATATTTTTAAAACTATACTATTTTAAGCGTTAGAAAGATCTTTCAATCTATTTTATGAATAAACAAACACAAAACATTTAAAAATCAAACCTACATATGGGGGGGCCAATGGGGGGGTCGGTAGGGTTGTGTTGTTGAGTTTGGCTCATTTTTGCTGTGTTTAATCAATATCCATTTTTTACAAGTCGTCACCTGAGAATTATAGTGTTCTATCTGCATTTTCTTTTTTTTATTCAGGTTAGTCTTGTTTTAAGTATTAAAGATGCTTATTGTTCTATCTATATATAATTGGGGTAGAAATTGTACAGTTTAAACCTTAAACTTTACAATTTCTACCCCAATTATATATAGATAGACCAATATCATCTTTAATACTTAAAACAAGACTAACCTGAATAAAAAAAAGAAAATGCAGATAGAACACTATAATTCTCAGGTGACGAAGTATTTTTTACAATTTTTGCTTTTTTTTAATATTTATTGAATTTTTGTCCATTTTGTTGATTTTTGCTCATTTTGTTTTTTGTTTTATTGTGCTGTTAATATAAAATCAGTTAAAGTGTCCCGTTAATAACAAAAAGCCGTGCAGTCGCTTTAAGTATTTTGTTCATGACAGGTATAAAAATGTATTACCTTGTATAGGTCCCGAGATGGGACTTTTTAATGTTTAAACATTATGCCTTAGGGTCTGGGTCCCTAGATGGGAAAGGTCCCGAGATGGGAGGTCCCGAGATGGGAGGTCCCGAGATGGGACTAAGCCGTCTATATATAGCGGTGGGGTCTGTTTATTAAGATGGAATTATAACATCATTGTTATAATGATTATATATATATAATATAATCTTCTACACTAACTAATTAGGAGTTTGTTACGGGCAAATTTTGATTAAATGTGCTTAGAGAGGAAACAAGTTTGATAGATTTTTTCATAATTATTTTCATAATTTCTTAAAAAAACGATTTAAATCAGGGAAATTATTTTCATAATTTCTTAAAAAAACGATTTAAATCAGAGAAATTGTTACAGTTCTTGGTAAAAAATTCGCAAATGATTGATATTTTTTTATATCACATCAGAATTACGCCTTAAAAAGCAAATTTAACGGCTGTAACTTAACAATTCAAAGTTTGTAATGCTGACGTCATTATATCGCATTGATGACGTGCACCCATACAGATTTGACCGCGACTGTACCTGAAAATTTCTCTTTCGTTTTCGTTGGGCCATCCTGTATAATACTGTAATAAGCTTTAAGATACTTAGATACGTATGTCGTTGGAGTGCTATTTTCGGGACAGCCTGTATAATGTTAATATTAAATGAGGACGAAATGAGTAAAAACATAAAATAAATCTAAGATATATTGATTTAAAACAAAATTACACACGAAGTTTGTGGCCATTTTTTGCAACATCTTCCAAATGTTTTACCTCCTCATCATCTAACTCATACAGTTTGATAAACTCGTCAAATTCAGGCTTACCAACTAGGTACTTCAAAAAAGATTCGATCATTTTTATTATTTGTTGACTACATTTGGCGCAGTGGTCATATAATAAAACTTCTAGGCCGTCTATAACAAATTTTATTGGTTTGAAGTATTTATTATAAAAAATTTTTACTTACTTTTAATTTCTAGCTCCTCTGGAGAGCATGGGCCTTTGTCTAAGGCACATTTTAAGGCGTTTTCATTGTCACAAAATACAGGCAGTAGAAGGCATTGAAAAACCATAACAATAACTAAAGTTCTCATGTTTATTGATATATTAAAAGTGAGTTAAGTGTGTTTGCTTACTTTTTATATACCGTGGTCTATAATGACTTTTTGAAAACAATAGGTACCTACTTATGCATGAATTGATTTATTTTATTACTATAATCAATATATTCAGCGTACATTTCCTAATACTAGGCTATAATTTGGAATAAAAATCTATATTATTACCATGGCTATTTTTAGATGATGTCAAACTGCTTTTGGACAACCATTGCGAAAAATGCACCAAGGAACAAATCCATATGATTGAAGAGTTTTTGGAATACGTTATTGCCAGGCCTTCTGATTGGGATGAATTGGTGAAAATTTACAAATTGACCAAAGAACAGAAAGAACATTTGGAAGATATTGCCGATCGTGGTCATGAGGCGGCTCACGAGCACCTTCATTAAATCCATACTTTTTGTTGAGTATTTTATAATTCGAGATTTTGCCCTATTATGTATAGCAGACATTTAAGTAAATAGATTTTGTTAAAAGTAAAACGTTTTTTATTTTTATAACCCAGCAACCATTTAATTTAACGCTCACCTGATATAATATAAAATAAATCAATAAGTCGCTTAAGTGCCTATTGTTTAAAAAAAAAAGTAATTACAAAGTAAAAATTAAAAAATTTATCAGTAAAATTTTACCACTAGAGGTATATAATATTATATACGAATAATCATCAAGCTATTGAAGAAAAAAACATAAACACAACTAAAATTATTTATTGAAAAAACTATACATATTTTGAAAACACAAAACACACATGGAATGCGCTACGTCCTAATCTCGCAAATCTTGCGAGATCGCGCATGATTTTCCTGCAAGACTAATCTTCGAGATCTTGGTATACCAAACAACTAGTCACCTGAAGGTATTATCTTAGAAAGGCAAAACTTCTGGTTACCTGCCTAATTCATATAAAATTCGAAAAAAAAGCAAAACCTGAAACAAGTGGTTTATGGTTTATTGGTTTATGCAATACTCACCTTCTGGACAACCAGTAAATGGCAACATACCAAATTTGGAACAAAAATTACTTAATCATATACAAAAATGGAGGCAAGATTAGTAGGTATGTAGTTTAGAATTATTTAAGTGTTTTTCATAAAACCCTGTATACATCATGGTATTAATGTATTAATGTGAGCCATGTAGGTACTTCGATAAGATTTTTTTATTCATGTTTGCAATTTTCTATGATCGTATAATAATAATTTTTATTACAACAAAATTAAAGCGGGAATTTAACGCTAACTTTTATAAATTAACAATTGTGTGTTATAAAAAGGCATAACATTGCAAAATATATATAAAAAGATAAAGAAAAATATAATATTAGTTTATTTCTTTTTAATAAAAATGAAATCTTTGCTAATTATTGCAGCTCTTATGTGCTTGCAAGCGGTATTCTGTGAATATGCAATGGACCCAGAAAAATTAAAATGTCTTATAGACAACGCATATTGCACTCCAGAGTTGTTACAAGAAAAGAGTAAGTACAAATTTTATGTGTTTTTAATACACAACAGTGTATTCCGAAAGTTTTTGTTGGGCTAAATTTAAGGCTGAATGGGGTAGTTAAATTTTTTCTGACCTATACTTTTTATGGTTTTATTCAAGGCGTTTTGTAATATTAAACATTTCTGTGAAATCAGAATTTCAATTGAGTTTACCGTTTTCGAGATATTTATAAAAAAATATAAATTTTTATGACGTCACAAACCTCGCCATGTGACCAACATTCTAAGATTTCTATTGGTTGAAAATTACCCTGTTGTCAAGTTGTCTTGTTAATGATTTCATTCGGTTATGTCAGAAAATAACCAAAGAGGTTATGTACAAATACTGTCACTGTCAGTTGAGTGAAAGATGGTCACCAAATTCATTAAGTATCTTCCTTATTACGAGGTATCATATTACTGTTTGATATTTTAGAGTCCAAGATATATCTAAAAGAATATAAAGAACTAGGCATTATACTAATGAAATGCATTTAAGACAAAATATGATTATAATTATAGGTACTTACTTTATTTGTTTAAAAGCTCCAATGTTCAATGTAACCAACCATTCCACAAGATTCCTCTGCTTTGGAGTCCGTTATTAATAAATCACTTATCTAATATCAATTACAAATAACATAACAATTACATTGATTTTCAATAATCTAAATTTTAAAAAAACATAACCCGAACAAAAGAAACGTCAAAAAATCAATTCTTCTTCTTCTTCTCAACTAAAATTATAGATCAAGTGGTTTTAAAACTAAAATAATATAACGTGGCGCCATCTATCGTAAGAATCTTAAACTAAACACACTGGCAACCATAGAAAAAGCTGGCAACGTTGTCAATAGCCTAGTGACGTAATTAGGAGAGTTTTTTTTGTAAATATCTCGAAAACGGTAAACTCAATTGAAATTCCGATTTCACAGAAATGTTTAAAATTACAAAATGCCTTGAATAAAACCATAAAAAGTATAGGTCAGAAATAATTTAACTACACCATTGCTCCGTTTTAAATTTTGGGTTAAAATGTTTTGAAAACTTGATGAGCAATTCTGAGGTCGAATTTGGAATCAGCACATGAAAACCTCGAAAAAATTAATTAAAAACGTACTAATGTTATATTTTTTGCAGCAAATACACAGTTTGTATTAAAAGCCCTCATTGATACACCAGATTGGGCGGCACTTGTCAAAGAGTTTCCTAAGGATATAGAACATTTGGAAAAACTCGCGAGAGACCCAAAAATGTATTAATTAATTTTAATAAATAAAAGCCTAAAATTCTTTTAATTTATGTGATTTTCATTGGAGTGCTCTGTTTATTAAACAGTGTTTAAAACAAAAAGCGATTTGTAGCGAGTAACTAGGTCTTACCGGGTATGATCGGTTATCTGACCATTTCATTTCGGCGAGGAAGCGGTATGGTAGGGGAGGGCGTAATGACGTCATAAATTTTCGTCATTTCCGTTACCGGTCGTAACCCTGTTCAAGACGTGAGTTAGAGTTGGTTACGAAAGAAGAGGTTATGTTTATTGTTGTTGTGTTTATTTCAATTTTTAAAAATGGATAAGGAATTTATAGAAATAACCTTAAATTATGAAGGGGAGGATTACAAAGCAATTTGTGATATGCAAACTGCTAATATTCTATTAAATGGTAAAGTTATAAACGTAATATTTCTTCTTTACCAGCATGTTTGTTTTAATATAATATTCAGCAGTTTATCAAATGTACTTTTTTTCAATTTAAATAGTTGAAAAAAGACAATTTCATAATAGCTTTCTAGCCAACAAGTGTCCGGCACAGGCATTCTAAAGTGAATTTCTCTTTTAAGAATATTGCAAATTATTTTAGTCTTGTTTTCATTTAGAAGTAACAAGTTAAACATAAAATCACTAAAAAATAATTCATCTGCGTTAAATAACAACAAACATAACTTATCCATTATTTTGTTAGGTTATGTCGACATAAACAAATATTTGAACCACAGAATACCAACCGCGTTTTAGCGAAACTTAACCGCTACGTCATTCAGCGGATGACGACACAATTTTTAAGTGGGGGACATACCAACCGTAACCAGCAAGGTTAGTCGCTACAAATCGCTTAAACATTATTTTCCATTGGAAAGTTGTTCTTCATATGAAAGTAAAAATTTAATACAATTTTGATCGCTTAATATTAATTTTAAGAAGTCATACAACGTCGTTAAAGTTGTTCGTGCTAAAAGCATTAATTGATTCAGTATCATAATAATAAATAGCTTTATTGTTAAATTTGTTTAACAAAAGGCGAAGTTCAACACATTGCCAAAGGGCTGTTGTTCTTCCACTTAACCTAGCTTATAATAGATAAATAATAATTCTAATTCTATTATAATATAGAATTTTTATAAAAAAAATTTAAAAAAAATAACCAACATATAACCGAGTACATATTAAAGAAAACTCAAATAGGTAGATATTATAATAGCATAATGCATAATAATGACTTCATTATATGCATACTAGTAAAATAATATTTTGAATATTGGTTATAATATTTTTATGATTTTTCCAGTACTTCGAGACTTTTCTGGCAATAAATTTAAACACCAAAGAAAATCATTGTCTTCTTCTTTAACATTAACAGCCGCTTATTTTAAATAAGTAATTTAAGGACGGCATGGCGAAATGATTTTGACATTAACTGTCAAACCAATGACTGTGATACCAACTATCTAAAGTAAAATTCGACCAAATTAAATATAAGGTATTACATTATTTTTTTTATAGAATTTTTGCAAAATAGATAAAATAGCACAAAGAACTCATGTCATAAGACCTTTTGTCGCACTCGTCCATTACAAAACTCACTCCTTCATCGCTCGTTTTATAAATTGTCCTCGTGCCTCGTGCTACAAAATGACGTTTTTAATATACTATTAACGATTAACATAAATTAACAGTTGTTAGGTAACATGTTATATAAAAGTGCAATATTATAGCTAAAACTTCTTTGATAGATAGAGGTAGTATGTTGAGAAATTGTAATAGTACCCTTATGCCTTAAATTTAAGTGATGTAGGTACATCAGTTCTAAATTTTATTTTGTTATGTTAGTATTGAGGTAGCTTGGTAGTAATTATTTTTTTGTAAAGTACAAGTAAATGTAGTACTCGCCTCTCCCTCATTCTAAGCCAATTTAACTGTTTAATTTTATGTGTAACATGATCTCTGCGCTTAATACTACAAATAAAACGTACAGGGTGATCCCCTATAATGTCGCCCCCCTTTAACTTTTTTATTTTAAGTGTCTCAAAAAAATTAAAAGTGTGTAATGTATACCTATAGGTACTAAAAAATACTTTTTTTCTACGTATAAAGAAAATTGGAAAATTGATCAGTATACAGGGAAAAACAAAAAGTTGCATTAATTGTATTCTGTTAGAATCCTCTCTAGTTAGACAATCACCATAAACAGTATCTCCAAAGTTAAAATGGGATAATACCAGGGAATCGCAAAGCATTTTTTTAGTTTCTATAGATTATAAACCAATTATTTGACGAAAGGGAAAAAGAAGTTTTAAATTAAAAAATGATTTTTTGTCGCATAAGGAAATGTGACCAGAAAACAGCAATTGTTTGTCCAATATAATGCCTAAATTTCTGGGAGATTGAACAATTTGTAGTTGATTATTATATTTGTAAATCTTTACGTGCTCTTTACAGGCTGCAACTGAATGTTTTCTTCCAAATAGTAAAACTTGTGACTTCTCGGGATAAATATTAAGACAGTGCTTTTGAGATTGCTCAATTAAGGATTGTATATCTTCGTTTACACATTGAATGGCTTTTAAAGTGTTTGACAAATGAAAAGAATAGGAAATCTGAGTATCATCAGCATAAAAGTAACTGCAAGACTTGATATAACTAGGAAAATTGGACGTATAAATTAAATTTATTTAAAATCACGTTACATAATATGTTT